GTAAAACTTATATGTTAAAAAGATGAATTCGACGATATTTGTTTTGCAAACAAGCGTTACTTGCTAACACGCCATTTTGCTATTTTTTTTCGTGTTTAATTTTTGTTTTGATGCGGATTGTATATATGGATCACATTTTAAGGGTAAAAATCTCTAAATTGCACAATATATAATAAAAACCGATGTTTTCGGTAACAATTTTGAAATATCGACATTCTGATACAAAAAAATTTTGGAATTTTTTGACTTTGTTTTTTTTCTCCCATCCCAAATAAACATTATTCCTTCAAGTAGAGTGATTATACCAATAATTTCATGATAAAAAAATTCAAGTGACGATATGATAAGAGAAGAACCACTAGTTGATAGCCATAAATTCTACCAGCAAAGAAAGAGACTACTGAAATCAATCACCCTACTAATAAAGTTCTTCACCGGTTAAAATTGTTGTCTTTTTCAATGATTTGTGTAAGTTCATAAATAAAAGAGAAAGTTATAAAATGATTAGATTACTCAAACTTTGTTTATTTTGGTTTATCTCGTGTGACTCTTCGATTTTGTAGGCTTTTTTGTACGGCAAAAAAAAATTCATATCTTTAAATATAAAAGTTTTATGCATCGTTCTCTTTCTCATATTTGAAGTCTTCTAAATGATGTAGTGTGTTAACTACGTTACATCAGCATTCATAACGTTTAAGGGTTATTTCACATATTGTATTATTGAAAATAATCATATAACAATGAGTGGATACTTCAAATTCACTGCATTTAAGAAGCGTTGAAGCGCCAAATATTTTGTCCAAGATTATTGAGACGCGAAATGTCCTCTTGTAAAACAAATATGAAACATAGTGGTGCAGTCGATTGGGAGATAGAATAACGGTCTACGGATAATATAGTTGAGTTGTTTACACTTTGGCATACTTTTCTGGATTTTAATTTTGAGGGAGATACTTATTTTCCTAGGAGCACTTTGTGTGCTGCTTTTGTAACCCAGTCGGACAAAAATACTTTGTGTTGGTTAGATGAGGAAAATTACAAAGCCGTTGGATGGAAGAATAAATGTGATTTAAGCTCGACCATTGATTGATATAGTGACTTAGCATAAGATGGAAGTGATTTAATGATTAAAAATA